CGGGGAGCAGGATCTTATCTAGTGACCTTCAACGATTATTTTTCCCCATTTTTCTTCATAAATGGATTGAGATGAGAGAATACATCTAGTCTTTAGTATAGAAAAATAGCCCTTGAAAAGCTCTACAATATTATGAATAAATAAACTCTATGTATCAGATATAGGGCGTTTACTTTCAGTGCTATAGTTTGAGAATTGACTTAACAGAGTTTAATTAAAGAACAAATTTTTTCTCGTTTTTATATGACAGAAGAAACAAAAAGAAAAAAGAATAAAGAAACACATCTAACGCATTTGTTGTCTAATACAGTGCACATGCAAATAGTGATATCTCCATTTTTGTCAGTTTTCTATTGTTCATAACATTGTTAACTTTTCTCCGTTCTTCGTAAAGTTTTGTCTGTTACTTTTCTTGTGATCACACGACACGACAGAACAGAAAAAAGTTAAACGACAACATCGTTTCTAGAGGCACGATCCAGGTAATACGTCTTTTTAACTAGTTCCCTGATACTTTTATTGTTCTGCAGTAGACACGCTCAGGTAGAAAAAAGAGTATAGATTTGTTGAAAAAATTCTAATATGAAAATAAAGCCCTAAGGGTTTACTCTCCCTTGTCCTAGATTAGCTTGCCATTATTCGTCTAATAAATTATCAGTTGTTGTTTTTCTTTCCTTGTTTAACAACTTAACTGTATTTCCTCTTTTTTGATCAAGTTGTCACAACATGTAATGAGTATAGCTCGACTTGTTGTTTTCAACAATCCTAGTTCAAATGAAATACTCTTGCTTTACCATGGGCGTATTTCTTTGCAGATTCTATCACTGATAGCGGACTATGACGCTAATGTTTAGCGGAGAAGTTAGATTTTTTGCATAAGACACTTAACTTAAATCAGTGATTTATATAGGAAAGACTTTTGATTGAAGAACTCTAGATCAGCATATTGGCGACGTGATTTTCTTCTAAAAAGTCTGGAAAAAAGTTTTTTCTTTCATACTAAGTATTCAAGGTAAAAACGACTGTTCCGTACAACGAATTTGATCGACTTTTGGATAAAAAAAGGTTTGTTTTCAAATTATTTATTTTTTGCTTCAGGTTGCGGTAAGGATGACTATAAAATAATATTTATAATCTGTGCTGTAAGCCAAAATTGCCCACTGTGTCCGTACGTAATATACGAATGTCGATAGATGAGAAAGAGTGAAGACATCTTATTTGACTGGTGCCTTTTAAAAGTCAAATAAGTTATTATTTCTCACATGATACATCTGATTTTTTCTTTTCATATTTGTGTATTGCCTCTCATATATGTATGTATATAAAGGTAGAACAAATGTGTATATACCGTCTTTCTCGTAAAATATGTGTCATACTTTCCAACTGTGTTTTATCAGGTGAGTTAGGTAACTAAACATCAAATTCGAAGTTGATTTCCGTCTTTATCAATTAGCTTTATTTTCCCATTCTTTGTCAATTCAAAAACAGCTGCTGAATGGCGTTCACGAACCATATATCAACTGTTAACTGATCGATTTGCTCATACGCCCAATGATATTGAGACAAATAAAAACTGTTTACATTCTCCTCTATCCGAGTACGATATTCGACACTATTGTGGTGGCACATACAAAGGTATTATTTCTCATTTAAACTACATAAAACAGATGGGATTCGATGCTATTTGGATATCTCCCATAACAGCACAAATTGAAAACGATACACATTGGGGTGTTGCATGGCATGGCTATTGGCAACAAAATATTTATAGATTAAATGAACATTTTGGTACAGCGACTGAACTTCGGACATTGATACAAGCAGCTCATACACTTGATATTTGGATAATGTTAGATGTCGTTGTCAATCATGTAGGTCCAAATGTAAATGGAACAGCTCGCTATGTTCCATTTGATTTAGATATTTATTATCATCAACCACCATGTCTGATTACCGACTATACAAATCAGAGTCAAGTAGAATTTTGCACGGTCGGTGATATTAACGTACCATTGCCGGATCTGAATACTGAACACGAATTTGTTGTTTCAACATTTAATCAATGGATTCAAAATATTATTAATGAATATGAATTTGACGGTATAAGAATTGATACATTTCGTCACGTTCGAAAAACATTTTGGACAGATTATGTGTCTGCATCGGGTGTCTATTCACTCGGTGAAGTGGCCACATCCGATACGGCCTATGTTGGTGATTATCAGCGATATGCTGATGGTATTTTACATTATCCATTATATTTTGTTCTAGATGAAGTATTTCGAGATGAAAATAGAAAATCGATTAGAGAATTAGATAAACAAGTTCAATTAAATGAAAAATATTTTATAGATACAACTTTGTGTGGAATATTTTTGGATAACCACGATCAAGCACGTTTTATGAATCATACAACAAATATGATACTTATTCAGAATGCCTTAACTTATTTGATGTTCAGTGATGGAATACCCATTTTTTACTATGGTACCGAGCAAGAATATCACGGTGACTCAGATCCATGGAATCGTGAACCCATGTGGCAAAGTAATTATTCACAGTCGACTCCTATCTATCAGTTCGTGAAAAAATTACTTTTGCTACGTACAATATTAAAATTAAATTACCCACAGTACTTTTTGACACACCAACATACCGTTTATATTGATAACTCGACCTACATCTATTATAAATACCCTGTTCTCATTGTCGTATCAAATGATAATTTTGATCGACCAAAAACAGTAAACATTATGAGTAATATAACAAATTATATAGATTATTTTACAAAAGCAAAAGTAAGAAATCATCAACTGGTTGTTAACAGTTGGATACCGATGATTTTGATACCACAAGACAGTCTAATTAGCTCGACATGCTCACCACTCAAAATCTATCTTCTCATACTGCTTATGACTGCTGTATCTTCAGCACTCCTACTGAAAAAAAAGTTTAAAATTCCTACAGGATCCTGCAAAATTTTGCATAAGAAACTCGTGGGGTGTGTGTATCAAAAAATCGTGGGATGTTCCTTATAGGATTCTTTTCCTTGCCATCACCGAGAGGATTCTACGGTTTTCTCAAGGAGCCGCATGGAAAAAAATCCTGCGTAAAGGTTAGAAACATCGCAAGACTTTTTGACTTATTCAATCCACAAGTTTTTGGCCACGAGATCCGGCAGGATTTTGTCCCCATGTCTATCCTGCGGCATCCTGTAATCTTTTCTTATCAATGTCTGTTCAGGGTGACCATGGAGGAATTTGTCTGTATATTGTATTTTTGAAAAGTTAAGAACTTCTGCATCTTTTTCTTGTAAAATTATGAAAGCTTTTCTCGTGTCCAATAAACTTCCAGAAAATGTATACCTTAATATTTTGACTTAACACGCATTTTCATGTGTACAAAACCAAACTATTAATAAGTAGCTGAAAAGATCTTTTTTGTCAGGAATATTCTATTTTCTTCCATCAATAAGAAACTAAAGCTAGAATCATTCCACTACTGTGAAAAAAGATGTAGAGTTAAGCAGAGATGTCAAAGTATTCGAATTTCTTCAGCTCTGAATACTCAATTGAATAGTATATAATTTAAAAGCTTCGATAAAGACATTGAAAAATTATAGTTAAAATTTTAAGGTATATATTTTCTAGAAGTTTATTGGACACGAGAAAAGCTTTTATAATTTTACAAGAAAAAGATGCAGAAGTTCTTAACTTTTCAAAAATACAATATACAGACAAGTTCCTCCATGGCCACCCTGAACAGACATTCGCAAGAAAATATTGCAGGATGCCGCAGGAAAGACATGGGTGATAAAATCCTTTTTCTTCCAAAATCCTGCCAGATCTCCTTGGAATAATACTTGCGGACTGCTCTGTAATAATATTTCCTGGAAGACACCGTTTCGTTTCTCCACGATAAAATCCTATAAGCTTTTCAGGGTATATCTCAGGAGCGCATGTAAAAGCTCCTGCATGGTGTGGCTAGAAAAAAATCCTCCAGGATCCTGCAGGAAAGAAATCTAAAAAGTGAGCGTTAAAGAACCCTGCACAATTATACTCATCACCTTGCATGCAGTGGATGGCTAAATGATGCTGCTCTGCGGTGGTATATACGTTTGGAAAATTCAAATCAAATACCAAACACATGGAATAATTTGAAAACATTGTTTTTGACTAGAGTTAGATCACCAGAAGAAATTGAATAATTAAAATATAAAATCAAAATTATACATCGAGAACCAGAGGAAACGGTATCATCCTTTGCTGATCGTTTACAAGCTTTTTGTTTAGAAATGGAACCAAATATGCCATCACCGATTAAAGAAAATATTTCTCGATCGACTTAAAAATGATATTATTATTTTTTATGATTATGATCAATGTATTTCATTTGAACAAACATTGAACAACAAGCTGAAACAAAAGTATTTGCATAAAAATATATCTGATTATACATTTTGAGTTTTTTGATTGACATACGCACAACGTATTTGATGTGGACCTTGTGCAAATGGCCTTGTAGCCGTGCTAGTCTTTTTATCATGTTTTAGAACACTATTATTGCCATAGTCAAAAGTGTACAATGTATCATCAAGGTGATCAATTGCAATGATTCCAGGATTGCTAGGATACCTGGCGACGAATCTTTGTCTGTCAAGACGACAGTCTTTCGACATGTCAACTGTGCTCGACGCCATTGTTCTCTAGTCGCCGTATAAGAAAGAAAAGGACTTTTGCTAGAAAACCGGTTGTTTTGTGGGACGTTCTAGAAGACCCCCAAGAATATATATCCGATAGGATGTGATACAAATCCGAATGTTCTATTGTGTCCATTCCTTTATAACCAGGCAGACGGCGACGTTTTCTGGACAAAAGGCAGCTAGCAACTAACGCAGTTAGTAGATCATATCGAGAAAAGAGAAGATTCTGAGATCGATGACGTGCGATCATGGTAGTTTCTCATTTTACTTGTGCTTCGCTAGATATTTCGTAACCATAGTGTCAAAACTATAACGCCGAGGCACTGCAACAAGCCGCTACAAACCACGAATCGGCTGCCAAGCGTGTCTCTAAACTAAATAGCGCACGTTTTTCTAGAACATACCTGTCGTTGTGGTCGTTGTTGTTATCACCGTAGTGGAAAGCATACTGGTTACCGCATTTCGGCTGTGATCATCGATGTTTGTAAAGTTTCGATCGCTCCGATAAAAAGAACACAGTTACGTTGATAGGATAAATATCACAGTGCGATTCTTTCGGAAGCGTACCACATTTTCATCGATTTTATCCGAACTGTTCGAGAGTAACAGGACTAGTACAACTTCAGCTCCTGATGACAAAATTTTAAAACAATACACGCCGGCCTTCTAGACCTGTAGGGAAGCAACGCAGGCAGAAAACGAATCATGAAAATAATCGACACGCAAAGTACGTACCGTGATGGGAATTAACGTATGTAATATTCTGGGAGTGTAGACGAAGAAATATTAGCGAGCGATTGATAGATGATTCTGATGAGTACTTGGTAATTATATGAAGTGAAAATTTGTGAGGTACATAGTTGATGAGGAGAGAAGGAGACAGAAAAAGAGAGAAATCGGCAGAAGAAAAAAAAACACGATTATGACCTTAGTGAGAATGAATTCAAATAACCTTGAACCGTTGGACAGACAGTGCTGAAGATATGATGTTAAAGTACGTGGGACTAACTAGTATATGTGGATGTGAACGGATGATAAGGGAATGGATGATTGATGAGAAGTGAAAGATTTTATCCCATCCACCTCCTACGCTCTTCACAATCACCTCGGACAAGGACGGCTCATTATCACAAGCTATTTTGCTGTAGTGCTCCCTTCGCAAGTCCCTTTTTCCATCTATAAACTCACCACCGTTCCTTTTTATCATCAGAACAACACCGTTCGCCTTGCTCATATGCCGTCCTATCTTGCACTGAATCCTCGAGATAATACTAGTATTGAGTGGTACCCAGAGGATCTCTCTAACTGTGATTTCAACATCATGCCAACTTGGCGAGATAGTCCCGCTATTTGCACTCTTTCAACCAGTATCTGTCTGACGCAGATTTTCTATAACCGGCCTCTAGGTAACTGTTTTACCTCTTTCTCTTTCTTTTTGCTCTTATTTTTTGGCATGTAGTATGTTTTGCAGAAACATCGACTACTTTATTCTTGTGGAGAAAAACCGATTTCCTCGTGAAAAACATGAAGTTGTTTTGGAGAAACGTCGATTTCTTCAAGAAACATCCAGTTCTTCTGCCGAAAACATGACGTTTTTTTGCAGAAGCATCGACTTGTTCGGCAAAAGAATGGGGTCATTGCAGAGGATGTTGGAGACATATTGACTACTTCGGCAAGAAAAATGAAGTTCTTGTGGTGATATATCGATTTCGTCGTGAAAAACATAAGTTTTTGACAAGAAATATGTTTGAACGAAGATATCTCTCCAAAAGAACCATGATTGTTTTTTCCCGAAGAACTCGATGTGTCTCCAGAAGTGAGTGCTTCGGCCGAAGAAATCGATGTTTCGCTGCAATGACTCCATTCTTTTGCGCACGAAGTGGATGTTTCTCCAAAAAAAAGTTTATGTTTTCGGCAGAACAAGTAAATGTTCGTCCGAAAGCACCCCATGTTTTTTCCTGAAGAAATTCTTTTTTTTTCTCCACAAGATTGGCTGAAGCCACCGATGTCCTCGCCCAAGAACTTCAAAGTTTTTCGTGTAGAAATCTTCGTTTCTCCACAAGAATTTCATCTTTCTACCCGTAGAAACTTATGTCTCACCCCAAGAACGTCATATCTTTTCCTGAAGAATCTGATGTCTTTCCCAAAAAACTGCCTATGTCTTCCTAACGGTACCCATGTCTCTCCGTAAGAACCCTAAATGTCTCTTCCGGAGCAAACGGATGTCTCTCCACAAGAAATTCATCTTTCTTTCTGAAGACAGCGACGTCTGTCCACAAGAATTTCATGTTTCTCGCTGAAGAGACCGATTTCTCACAACAAGAATGTTAATGGAAATCATATAGCTACACTTGTATCAGGTGGAGAAGGACCGAGTATTGGAGTAGGAGATCAAAGATAAACTGTTTCATTTTTTAGTCATTGTTATCGTTGTTGGTTTTTTTGTGCGTTGTGTAAACAACTGTTTTCAATCTTAACAAAAACAACAGCTTTCAAATCTATTTTGATTTGATACTATCGAAATAACTTGATTTAACCAGCATAGACACCCGGCTATCAGGCTAATATGACCCAAGTAAACAGAAGATCTATTTCTCGGAATCTGACTTATTGCCAATTGTTCATGTGGTGATCTTTCTTACTATTGTCTTTTTTCTCCGTATTTTAAATTTTAGATATATAATCATTTGAACTCAGTTTTTGTTTTATTTAAAAGTGTCTGCATATGCACGGGAAAGAAAGTTAGGTTATAAGGCTTTCAGCTTTAATTCAATATTCAGAACATTCTTGTTTCTATAGTCGTGCATTTATTTCGATTACCAACAGTACCTTTTATTTTCAATCCAAGTGATAAAATAAGTGAACAACACTGAAAGGCATCATAAAACTGTTCTGTCTTCTATTATTCACTGTTTTGTACTAGTAACATTCCTAACAAAGTACTCCTCTCACTGACTATATTTGTTTTTTTCTGCTTTAGAAGTTTATTTGTAGTATTCTGTTTCCTACAGCAATGCACTATCCACATCCGTCTCAGCAACAAACGCAGTCTCAACCACAAACTCAGCAACAAATTTTTGTTGTTCCACAAACCCCAAACCTAAACAATAATTCTAATACGAATCAATTGAACCCTTCTAAAATGTCCTACGTTTATTCGACTGCTACGAATCAGCAACAAAGCCCATCATCAAATATTCTACATCAAACCCAAGGAAATGTAATACAAACAAATGGAACTACAATGATTACAAATCTTCTTACAACAACCATCATATCAGCAATTTCAGCTATTGCAACAACGACAACACCAACAGTTTTTAGTCAATAGATCATCACCTTCGACAACATCAATGCCATTATCACAAACAATCAATCAAAATTCACAAAGAACGATTATGATTTCGAATAATACATCACAGGTATAAAATATCTTAGAAAGAGAAATATCTCTTTTTACTCATATAACGTGCTACACTTGAAAATCCACATGTAATTCTTCTTGTCTGCTTCGATAGATATCAAATCAATCACAGTCACCAACACAGCAACAATATATGCCAACGCCGACTTTACCTTCTCGTCAAACATTTACAACTCTTACTAGTGCTGCTTCTCCCGTGTCAGATAATTCAAATCAATTGCTCACCAGCAATAACAATATTTTGTCAACATCTTCAGTGACTCCTATTTCTTTGCCAATTCTCTCCATATCCAATAATCAAATTCGTCCATAAACATAATCTAATGTGAGGCCACAGATTTCACAAACAGCGATCAGTTCTTCTATCCGGTTACAACAGCAACAACAACAGTCTTCTGCAATAACCGCAATAACAACTTCGTCTACTGTTCCTACTCCTGTATTGAACAACCTCAACAAGTATTAAAATTTTGGTTCTGTACGAGATATATAAAATCAAATTAGGTTTCCCTGCAGCTACTAAACCATTTGAATTTGTAGTGTACCGTTTAGCAGACAAATTAAAATATCAAGAGGGTATTTCATATTCTAAGATATCCTTTAAATACCGGTAAACGTAACCCAGAAAATCAAAAAAGGTGTTCTAACGAGGGAAGGCCACCAACTGCCTCCTCGCTATTGAGCTTAAACTCAGTTGACAATAGGTAATCGAACGTGCTGATTCCGAATATCACAATGGTTTTTGCCCGGTTTCGATTTAAAGATCTTGGTTTTTTAATCGAAAAACCATTTTCACTAAAAAATTTCCTTGACCTGTCCAAATGAAAGAGCACGTCGTCAAACCTACAGAAAACAATTTTTCAAGGTTCTAAGCGAGATTTTGAGCGAGTCTTCTGCGTCTAAAACTT